TTCAAGGAAATAAATCATAAAAATAAGTGCGGAAAGCGAAATAATTAATTAGGGTTTATATTCCTTTACACAATAACTTTAAGTACCAAATAGTGCTACAAGAATTACCCTTTTGAAGGAAATACAAAAAAAAAAAAAATAAATAAATGGAAAATAAATAAAACTGGCATCCTACTCGCACCCTTCTTGTGGATCGAGCTCTAGATCCTGGTTCTCTTGATCTGAAATGGTTAAATAAGAAATGAGCTACACTAGTACAGTAAGAATTTTATGCTACTCACCGACACAGAAATGAGGGTTGGTATAAAAATCAAAACAACTAATGGAGCTCTTAATTAAGCAAACTCATTTATCATAAATAAAATCGTTTACCATCTACTTATTGTAGCGAAATTTACAAAACAACTTATAAAGACAATAACATAACGCAGATCATGATTTCATATGTAATTGATTGGAACAACAATTTATCATTTATCAGCCTACTGGTATCTGTGGGGTTCATAGGGATGTCTCCATAATGCGTGAACCCTCTCTTTTAACATCTTCAATTAATAGGCCGTCCCCATACCCCGTTCGGTATGAGCACCAAACTACTAAAACTCAATATCCCGTCCGGTATGAGGGTGAAACGGGCCGTCCCCATACCCGTCCGGTATGAGCACCAAATTACCAAGTCTCGATACCCCGTCCGGTATGAAACAACGTTCACGGTAGGGCGTCCACCATATCTCAGGATATCCAGTAAGGTTGCCGTTTCATCCATTTACTTAATCATACAATTTTCCGTTTTCTTTTGATTCTATTTTTCCCAATTCAGCAGTAAACACATAAAACAAACAATACATGCATTCAAAACTATAAAATCGATCAATCAGATACTATCATACATCCAAACTGTAAAATCAATCAATCAACAGAATCAACAGTGAATTTCGAGTAAAGGGGAAATTTTTTACCTCTTTTGGCGGTCGGAAGTGGCTTCGGTGCAGCGGTGGGTGGGTCTTCTTCTCCGGCAAGGGTGTTTGGCAGCTAGGGTTAGGGTTTGGTGTGAAGAGGGTTATTTATATCCGTCTCTTTTTTAATCTGAGCCCTCCATCGTGTTTGATTTGGACCGTCCGATCGCATTTGATTTGGACCGTCCGATCGCGATTAAATAGGAAGTGAATCTGGACTGTTCATCGCGATCTGATCTGAGCCGTCCGATCGCTTTTAAATAGGAAGTGGATCTAGACCGTTGATCGCGTTTAAATCTGACTGTCCGATCGTGTTTGGGGAGGGAACGCATTTGGGCCATCCGTGTGCGCGGGAGTGAATCTGGGTTGTTTGATCATGAGTACGTGGATCGCCCGCGTGGCCTCCCGCATGACACCGCGTCAGCATTCGTTGCCACGTGGCGCGTTCTAGTTCGTCAGGACTGCTGACTGGGCATCCTACATAACACAACTTTGCTAAATTGCGTTTTGACCTACAGTTTTCGATTTTTCTTTCAAAATACCCTCAGAATCTAAATTTTCACCATTTTTTTCCGAAATTGTTTTCAATTTTATCCCCCTCCTATTTTTCTACATTTTTACATTAAATTAGAATTCAAAAAATTCAAAAATTATATTTATAAATTAATTTAAATTACAATTAAATTAACTTGGGTATTACACTATTCAAGAAGAGATCAGGGTTCTAAAAAAAATAAGACTTAGGAACTGACAGAACTTCAACCTGAAAAACATAAAGTTGGGTGCAAATTGGTATTCACTACAAAACACAATCCTGATGGAAGTATGAATCAGTACAAAGCTCATCTAGTGGTTAAAGGCTTCACTCAATCCTACGGGATAGACTATCAAGAGACATTCACCTCAGTGACTAAGCACAGCACTATCCGAGTATTACTCTCTCTTGCTTCTAATCTTGATTGGCCTCTCTGTCAACTTGATGTAAAGAATGCATTTCTCAATGGTGATTTAGAAGATGTATATACGGAAGTCTCTCCGGGCCTTAAGACCACATATGAATCTCACAAGGTGTGCAAACTCAGAAAGACACTCTAAGGTCTAAAAGAATCTCCGAGAGCTTGGTTTGACAGATTCACCAAAGCAGTCAAACATATGGGCTATGAGCGGTGTCAGTCTGATCATACTTTGTTTGTCATGAACAGTACCTCAGGTAAGAAAATGATCCTAATTATTTATGTTGACGATATTATTTTAACAGGTGATAACATAGAAGAAATTCAGAAACTTAAAATTTTTCTTGCTACAGAATTTGAGATAAAAGATCTTGAAGCACTCAGGTATTTTCTGGGAATAGAATTTGCTCGTTCTAAAAAGGGAATATATGTGTCACAACGGAAATATGTTCTTGACCTACTGAAAGAAACAGGGATGCTTGAGTATAAATCAACATAAACACCCATGGAAACGACTACAAAAGTTGGTTTTAAAACCAATGACAAGCCAGTTGATAAAGAAAGATATCAGAAACTTGTAGGCAAACTTATTTATCTCGCTCATACTAGTCCTGACATCAGTTTTGCTGTTAGTACTGCAAGTCAATTCATGAATCAACCTACTGATGATCATATGAATATAGTATATCGGATCCTAAGATACCTTAAGAAAACTTCAGGACAAGAACTATTTTTTCAGAAAACAATGAACAAGAATATTGAAATCTACACAGATGCAGATTGGGCGGGTTCTCTAACTGATAGAAAATCTATATCTGGGTACTGTACTTATGTTTGGGGAAACTTAGTCACTTGGCGGAGTAAGAAACAATTTGTTGTATCACGAAGTAATGCAGAAGCTAAACTTCGGTAACTTGCTCATGGAATATGTGAAGGGATTTGGTTAAAAAGGATTCTAATGGAAATAAAATTCTCGGTTACTACTCCCATGAAAGTATGGTGCAACAATCAATCAACAATTAATTTAGCTAAAAATCCTGTACATCATAATCGAACTAAACATGTGGAGATAGATCGGCACTTCATCAGAGAGAAGATTAAAGATCAAACTATTACAATACTCCATGTTCCTACTAGTCAGCAAACTACAGATATTTTAACAAAGGCACTTCCCAAAGGATATTTCAACAAATTGATATCCAATCTAGGCTTACTGAACATTTATGTAACCTAAATTGAGAGGGAGTATAGAAATATTAGGAATAAGTTATATTTACTGTTACTGCTCTTTGTTATTTTATTTTTTGTTAGACAACCAAGCACTGTAACAGAATGCTAGCTGTCATTTTATAGGGAAGGTTGTTAATTTATTTTGTTTTTTCTTTCTGTTTTGCCTATAAAATGAGGCACAAAACCATTGATGAAAAAAGAAATTTTTCCTACTCTTAAAATCTTCATTCGGAGTCTTAAATTTAGTGCCACGCCCTTGTTGTTATGACAAGATTCTGGTATTTTTGTGGATTTCTGTTTGACACTTGATGTGAATGTAGAACCCTCAATAATTCAGAACTAGAGGTCATGATAAATGATAATATGAAGATAATGATAAAGTTAATGTCTCTTAGTTTTGAAATAGAAAAGGAACTTGGACTGCTACTTCAAGTTAATGTCTCTTTGGTTTGAAATACAAACGGAACTTGGATTGCTACTTCTTAAATGTATAACTATGTTACTACTCAATCTGCTTTGTGTTACTAATTGGTATCATCCCTTTTTCTTTTTTTCATTACATCTGTGACATTATAATGATTTTCTTCTAAATAATGTATTTCTTAATGTATATGACATTGTCTTAGCTTCCATTAGGTTCAAAATGAATTGTAGTATATTTTATGTCAAACAAATCCAGATACTCGTTATTAATTTTGGACTTGGACAACCATTGGAATAAATAATTTTTATTGGTGAAGTTTATCCAGAGATCCAGACTTAATTAATATGAGATGATGAAATTTTCCTTTTTGAAATGATAAAAATTCAGCTTATGTAGTATCCCAATAGAATTTAAGTAATATATTGCAAATTTGATTAGTTTTGGTAGAAGTTAGAATGCATTATCTGAATTTTTGGTATAACGTTTTCATCCAATCCTAACTGAAACAAGCATGAATGTTCAAATGATGGAATAGTTCATTCTTCCTTCATAGCCGTATCGACCAAATAATGTTGTCTTTGACAAAAGTTGTCAAGTTGTAGGGGCATTCTGGAGACTAGAACATTGAATCCAAGCAAACATAGACTTTTAGAATCTTAGTAGAATTCAGAAGTTCTGGTATTATTTTTTGTTATTGTAGTGTTAGGTTTGATTGTAATTAGTAGCTATATAAGGCTATAAAGCCAGCTTATTTGTAGGTTATGTTGGATTTGTGATTTTCTAATTTAGAACTGTTTCAGCCTTTCAGAGCTTTTGTTCTGTTTCTCTGTTTTCTTTCCTTTTCCTGGTATTGTCTACCCTTGTGCATATTGTTATTAAATCTCTCCCTCTTTCCCTACTTATCTTCTTGTTAGCTTGTTGCCCATAATAAATCTCACCAACTTTGCTTGATTGGAAATGAATAGGAGAGTTGGGCATAAAAAAGCTTGAGGTGTCTTTTCTCTCGAGTTGAATAGTTTCACTATTTCTTATTTATTTTAAAAAAATGTCTTTTTTTCTTGAGTTTCTCCAAATTTAACACAAAGTATTTGAAAATTTCTTCTTCTTTTTCTGAAGCAAAATTCATGCTTTATTTTAATCATAAAAATTTGTTTACTAATGAGTTCATTGTTCAATTTTACAAATGAAATCATATTATATTGTTTACTTTTTAATTTCAGAGCAAGAAGAATCCCAAGGAGTTTGCTGAGAATATTGTGAAAGAGGCTGACCAGTACAATGGGTTCAACCTCATATTAGCTGACCTTTGCTCCAAAACCATGGTATACATAACCAATAGGCCAAAGGAAAATGGCAAAGTAATGACAGAGGTCTCCCCTGGGATTCATGTATTGTCAAATTCCAACCTGGATGCCCCTTGGCCCAAGGTAAGAAGGCATTTCTCTTCTTTTACATATAATTATAACATTGACAGGAAAGAATTTTCTTCTTATCTTCCTTCCTTCCAACTTAATATAAAGCAAAAATTTTAATAGTCAACATTATGTTTTTATTCTAGGAGATAGATTGCATAATTCATAAATCTTAAAGCACAAGTTGTAGCATCACTGTCTTATCAAAGAAATTTGTAGTATTGCTGTAGCAGTCCTAGTCCTCTCATCGTCGTTTTTGTTGTTTTGCTAACCTTTCAGAGTATAGTGGGCTTCTCCATTAACATTCCATATTTTCTTCTTGTCCAACTAGCTATCTTTAGTTGCTACTTTTTTTTTGGTCCATTTTTTATGATTATTGACATTATTTTTTTTATTATCATTACTATTTTAGGAATGGACTTTTCATGGTAAAAGAAATGGTCAAGTAGAATACACAATAAACCAGACTGCTCATGTAAGAAAGACTTTCTGCTTGATATATGAAATTGTTTTCTTGTATTGATTTTCTTTTCCTTTTATACTTGTTTATAAAACCATGTATGGTGGCATAACTACTACTTTAAGTATAAATAAAAATAATTTTTTAGAGAACACTAAACTTGTTTAAATATTATTTCAATGACGAACCACCCACATCTTTTTAATATATATTCAAAAATTTAAGAAATAAAAATTAAAAATTAAAAATTATTTCACATACCAAATAGCTAACAAGATGGCCCAACTTATAGAAGAGATTGTGTCAACAACTATCTTTTAAGTTCATCAAACCCAAGGTGGAGTTGGTTCCAGATGGTTGTATTGGTTGTCAATCTCCGTTTGAAGTAAGAATGGTCAGGAGTGACACTGTTCTGTTGGCACCTTAAATCTCTTTCACAGAATGTTGTAAGCATTCTCATGGCATCTTAAATCTCTTTAACAGTATTTGCTGATTCATTTCTGACAGTCTGGAAATTGTTGATGATCAGGAGTAATGTAAAGAAATGGGGCTTGGGTCTCCAGATAGAGTCATGATATTACATGAGTAATGTAAGAAATTGGGTTTTGGTTTTGCAGGCTGAGCGGCTGAGACATAATTTCAAAGAAGTACTGGATAAGTATGGGGAGAGTGAACTTCCGATAAAAGTGATGGTTGAGAAGCTTATGAGAGACACGACTAAAGATGAAGAAAGTGAGCTACCTCACATCTATCCTCCTGTGCTGGAATACCATTTAAGCTCTATTTTTGTTGATGTGAACAGACCATTGGTAAATTGTGCAATTTGTTAGATTTTTCTGAATGAATCCCAGCCCGGAAACAGTAAAAGAAACTGAGAAATTTTTATGTACAGGGGCGTTATAGTACCAGAAGCACGTCTGCACTGTACATGAAATGGAGTGGAGAAACTTGGTTTTATGAGAAGTATGTTGAGAAAGATTTGTGGAAGGAACAGACCTTGACATACCAGATAAAGGAGATGGAGTAAGTCGAAGTTGAAGATCTTTTTTTTGTGGGAGATGGCCGTCAATAATTGAGAAATAAGGTGTAAATTGGCATCTACATACTGAGCTATTGAGATGTAGGGTACGGAAAGTTCTGATATATGTATATAATTTAATAACAAAATGATTCAAATTGTATTACTATGTAGATATTACCTTCATATATGGTGAATGTGCAGCCATAGGTTTTATAAAGAAATAATGAAAATGTCCAAATATTTGGTGTAGCATGGGAGCTAATTATTCCGTAGCTGTTGAATTTTTAGTTAATTATTTTAAGCAAGGCTAGTTCCCTCCTTGTTATTCTTTCTCTGAAGTACATCATCATTAAAGGTTGACGAGTATACTGCAAACTTTGTGAAGAAGACAAAAATAACTCTTAAACATGATACTAAAAGATAAGAAACCATATTAAAATAAGTCATAAATCTAGAGACAAGTATAAGAACAAAAGAAAACAAGAACTTTAAAGTTGTTTTTGTGTTTAATTTTAAATTTATTTTTCTTGGAAATCCTTGAATATTTCTTCAATCCCTCCAAAACTTGATTGATTGTTATCCAAGTTGAATTCAGAAAACCGGAATTGATCAATTGAACTTTGATTTCCCTTTTTATGAGCTTGATGTTCATTGTTTGAACTCATGGTTGTCATTCTCCCATACTCAGACTCATTTCCTGTTATTGCATGTCTAAAACTTCCATATTTTGTAGCCCGAAGTTATCTTTAAAACTTATGCTCCTTAATTCATATTATTTGTTGTAACTTGTATTTTCCATGCCTAAGCCATTTTGATTGTTAAAGAGCTTACTTCCCATGCTGTTGAATGCATTTTCATTGCCCAAGGCCACATTTTCCATAGCGTTTGACCTATTTTTATTATTGAAATTTCTTTCAACTGTCATGTTGTTTGATCCATAGTCGATGCTTACATTAACTGTTGTTGTGTTGTTTAACTTTTTACCCATGTTGAAGCTCACACTTTCAATGGTGCTCAACCCATTTTTATCACAGAAGTTTATATTAGAAACTTGGTTGATTGATTTATTATCATCAAATAAGCTTGGGTCGGCCATGTCTTTAATCCAAATTGATTGTTTAATCCATCCTTTATCATGTTGATGTTTAATCCAAATTCATTAGTAAGACTTCCCCTAGAATGATTGCTAGTGTTGAAGTTTCTCATTTCGTTAAAATTCATGCTCGACTGATTATTTATACCCAAGATTTTCATTTTGTTTGATCCACATGGGTTGCCCAAATTCACCTTACATTGATTGTTGTAACCCATTAAATAATTTCCAATATTGCTCGAATCATAAGAATCATTGAAAGTCATTCCCAATTGATTGTTGAAGCTCATATTTGTCGACCCATATGCATTATTGGAGCTTATCCCTGGTTGCTTGTTGTCCAAGCTCACATTGGTCTTGCTATTTGACTCGTACTCATGTTTATTGTTCATCATAATAGGAATAACCATATTTTTTGTCTTAGGTAATTGCTTGCTCATCAGATTCAAATTTGTAATAGTATCTAAGTTAGACTAATCATGATTCAAGCTCATATTATTTGGCATCTCCCTATTATCTAGGTAAACATCTATAGGCTTGTCCAAACCATTAGGTGTAATTATTTCTTCTTCATCTTGTTGATTCCTTCTAACCTAGTAGTGCAATACATAACCATTTGCTGCAAGCATTTGTTGTTTTTGGTTCATACTAACCTGGTCTGATTTGTAGATGTTTGATCCAATGATTTTTTCTTGCTCATTCATGTTGACTTGATCCAACCAATCAACGTTGGTCCCAACCATTTGATGTTGTTGATATATTTTGACTTGCTTCCATCTATCAACACTGTTTCCAATCATTTGTTGTTGGTTCATGCTGAGTCTATTGTCCATTTTATTCAATCATTTGTTGTTGGTTCATGCTGAGTCCATTTAGTATGTCCAATCATTTGTTGTTGGTTCGTGTTGAGTCCATTTAGTATGTCAGTGTTGCTTCTAATAATTTGCTATTGTTGATTCAAATTGACCTAGTGTAATTCATAAACATTAACTCTAGTAATTTATTATCTTAAATAATTCAATTTATAAACATTGAATACAATAATTTATTATTATTGATCCATACTTACCTGGTTTAGTTCATGAGTTCTGTTATTCTCTTTAGTTGTACCTGCAATAACGTATATCAGTTAAAAATTTTTATTTTATGAAAATAAGAATTATTATATACATATGTTAAAAGTATTACACTATGGAAGAATGATATATATTGCTTTATTTCATATTTATATTAGTCATTTGTACTAGTGACTATTTTTTATTTTTTTTTAAAAGTTATTTCACTGAAAAAATATTTTTTACCATAATATTTTTTACTATATTATTGAATAAAATTAGTTGCTTCACTAAAAACAAAAAGATTCGATTGTTAAAATTTTCAAAAGGAGTAATAAAACAATTTACTAGAATAATTAAGTAAACAATTCTAAAACAACTTTGCTATAACTATTTTTATGGTTAACCTCATCTCTCCATGTATGTTTGCAAGCACCTTTTGTGTATTCTAATGTTTCTCGTGGAGATGTATGAATGTTATACTTCTTCCATGCATGGTAGTGATAGCTTAAATGTTTTATGATTTTCAATGGCTGGGGGTTTCCCTTCTAGTTAACACCTATGATAACTTTTGTTATTTTTATGTATAGTTGGGATGCTTCATGGGCTTTTTGAGTTATTATTGTTCACAGGTTGATGCTTATATTTGGAATTTGTAATGTTATAGATCTAAAATCTTCATATCATCAATAAAGTTCTTTCTTTTAAACAAGAATGATAATGTAAGAAGACAACTAGATTATATATAATATATGCATTCGTCGTATGCATATACATATATAGACAATTTTGATTTACATTAGTGCATGCATACTTGTGTACGCCAATACTTATAATACGATTAGATAAGAAAAATATTGACTATGTTCAATAAATAGTATAAAATTTAGATTATTACTATATTTAATTACTTCCACTTCTACTATATTTCTTTATTAATATTTTGACTTAAATATAATAGATATATAGTAAATATTACCTTTAAATAAAGAATATATATATTTTTTAGAAAGAATGGAAAACAAAAATGATATTTAATTTAGAAAAAAAATATATAACGTTAGAATATTACTCTTAATACATAAATTTATGTTTAAAAAGTTTAAAATCTTAATTTTATCTTGACTTGGATTCAAGTGAGATGTTTGTCTAAATCCTTCAGAAAGAAGATTTAAGCTGCTTGGATTTGCCATTTGCCTTCTTAATAATTTATTTTCGACCATGGTTTGTCTTTTCATTTGTATTAGCCTAGCAAGATGACGACTATAGAATTCTTTTAGATGATTCACCTCATCTTGTCTTTTTTCAAATTCACCTGCTAATATATATTTTATTTTTATTATTACGAGTTTTATAAAATTCTGGATGTGTATCTTAGCAGGTAATTGTGTATGTCATTTTGGTATTTAAATATTTATTTGGAATGTTAGTAAAGTTTATCATATTTTGCAAAAAAAGAAAAGAAAATGCACTTATGAGAATACATATTGGTAAATATATATATATATATATATATATATATATGTGCATGGTTCTGAAAAATATGTATAAGTAAGTGAACACACACATGTATATTATTCCAATGAAGGCACAGAAATGCATATAGAGGGGGAGAGAGAGAGAACTTACCAAACAGAATTTGGGAGTTGTTTCTAGGGGTAGTTGACATGTTTATCGAGCTTAATGTTCTCCTCAATTTGTGAAGTACTTTTCTTTTCTTGAAAGCTTTGAACTTGTGGATCCATCTGACTCAACACATATGGGAAATATGTGACAATAAATATGTGTTTTCATATATATATATATATATATATATATGTATATGTGGTTGTTATCAACATATAAAAATTAAGAAAAATAAATTTGATATATATATGTATTCGTATTTTCTTTTCCATAAATACTTGAGCTTGAAAAAAGATCATACCTTTTTTTTTTTTAGATTTTTGTTCATAACGCAACTTGTTTAATGAAACTCTACAAACAAAAAGAAGATCATTATATTTATTAATACTTTAATTATATATTAATAGAAAAAATTAAGTTATATAAAATTAATATAAGAATATAAAAAATACAAGATGGTGATTATTTACCTTTTATTCTTTCTTGGATCCATGTTAGTATTTGAATTACTAGTCAAAGGTTTAAAATTTTCAAAATTATTGACACTATAACCATTACTATCATTAATATTTCTATTAGATAATAATGGTTGAAAGCAATCAAGTGAGTTGACCTGTTTACCAATAGTACTTATGATAAAAAAAAATAAGATTTGATAATTTTATTGGTATCAGACGACTGTGAATTAAGATTAATCTTACTGCTATTTCTTTCCATAATAATAGATCTACAACTTTTATCACTAAATTTGTCTCTTTTTCATATTTGAAAATTACTTGAGATAAAAGTGATAGTAGTTGGCGTTAGTGTAATGGCCAAGAACTTTTCAAAGCAATTAAAATTTGTCTCATCTTTCTCCATTAATTCTTACTTATCAATCGCCTACAATTAACCAAAAACAAAAAAAGAAGATGATCAAATAGTTTAGAAATAAGGTGGAATCTTGATATCTAGATACTAAACAATATATTGAGATGAAGTTCTAATATATATATATATATATAATTTAATAACAAAATGATCTAAATTTTATTACTACGTTAATATTGCCTTCATTTAAGTTTGATATTACTATATAGATGGAATATGCCGCCATAGGTTTTATGTAGAAATAATGAGAATGTGTAACATTCTGCACAACCAGATTTCCAAATTTTATAAATAAAATTCAGAAGAAAATTAGATTTAAAATAAATATGAAATAAATTATAATTGAAGTAAAACTATTTAGACATTTATACTTCATTTTAGAATTTAAAATAGATTAAGAAGGAGATTTAAAAATATTAAGAGTTGTTATTTAGTGACATTTATTTAAATTAAAAATTATTTATGTGATATAAAGATTAGTAAATTAGTAAAACTAAATATTTAGGAATTATAAATTATTCTTAAGTTAGTAAATTTAATTTATTAAGAAAATTAGTAAATTTGAAAACTCATTTTTAAAGAAATAGGAAATTTATTTAATTAAATAAATTTAAAATAAATATTTAAACAAATTTAAAATAATATTCGAACCCAAAAAATATTAAATAGGAATTTAGGGACTTCAACAAGAAAAATCCAAATTTTTGGGGACCTTTTGGGTACTAAAATAAGGTGTAGGTGATCAATTGAAATTAAATCTAGAAATTAGGGATTTCTGCAATTTCAGACAGTTTGACTACGTCAGCGTATGACATGCCCATGTAATCAACAACCTTTTGTCGTGTGGCGGGCATGCAAATTTGCACACGCAATGGTCATCAGCTGTGTGGGCACCAGTGGTTTGTAGATCCGACAACCCTACATGTTTGATGCAATCCAATGGTGATGAGTGTGGGCAAGGGATCCAACAGCATACAAACATGTAGCGGGAAATCATTGCGATCCAATGGTCCATGTGCGAGATGCCGATCAGACGACCTGTATGCATTTTTGGGGATCCAACGGTCAAAAGGAATGAACGGCCCATATCCGCATGGAGGTGATCCAACTGCTATGAAAATGGACAACCAAAATCTATGCAAACACGATCTGACGGTTAGTATTGCACGCTCACGAAATTACCAATTTCCCATTTATTATGGCAGATCCGACGCCTCTCGTGTAGCTCGCGTGTGTTAGGAGCTAGGTTTAAAAGCTCGGCAATACCCATTCGACCCCCCAGCCCAGTCGGGGAATAAAGAAAGAAAAGAAAAAAAAAAAGAAGAGAAGAAATGAAGAAGAAGGGAAGAGAGAGAGATGGCCAAGAACCACCGTTTGCAACGAAGAACAGGAAGCAGAATGCACTGGCCAGAAGCCCACCGCAGGGGGAATTCGATTCGCTGCCACTAGGTGCTGGAAATCGTAATTTTTCGACGGGTTTTCCAAACGACCCGCGATCCGTGGTGCGTTATCAAACTCGAACCTTCGGGGATGATTTTCTATGCCTTTTTCTCTCTTTTTAGACATCATTAAATATTCAACAGATAACTGGCATGTAGTAGAACATATTTGAAGTTCAAATAAAATCGAAATTAAGCCATACAGGCATGAAAGATCGCATGCAAGTCACGGGTTTATCACTGACTCAAGACACCTACTATTTTGACAGACTGCGAAGCTACTTTGGGGATCGATTTAGAGCCTCAAATCAACCTGTTTTGCAAAAACATTTGTAAGTATTCATACGTGGTGTTTTCCAAGTTTTTTATACATGCTTTGAGATCAAAAACTAATACCGATTAAATGGATTTTTGGTGAGCTAAAAGTAGGCTGGTGATCACTGTTTGAATAGGTTCTAGGTATCCTTTTGGCACACAAAACTGTCGGGATTGACTTGGAAATGCTAGGCTTGTTTCATTTACGTTTACATCAAAAATTTGTACGCGTAACTTCTGTTTAAGCTTGATGTCGTTTCCTTCTTCCTTAGGTGTTCAAGTATGTGGTTCGCCTGCGTATGTAAGAGGAAGAAAACGCCATGTCCAGTTATGGCTACGGATGAACAACGAGGTGAGTGCGGGTACACACGGTGATGCCTGCGAGATCTGCAAGTTCTAGCATGCTTGACGACAGCGATGACGCCACAAGAATGCAACTGTGTGGATGTTTTCCCAGAGGCCACCACCCGTGCCTCTTTTTAGTGTCAAAAACAGGAAGAATTAGTTTTCCTAGATTTGATTCCGATAATAGAACTTTACTAATGAACGTTTGTAGCTTGTTTAGGTATATTGAATTTGGATTGCAATTAGGGCTTAGGACGAAACAGTGCTTTATTCGAGGTAAGGACTAGGGTATTGCAATTGATATTTGTAGGTGTATTTTCTAGATTGTGTGATTGGTAATTGATTTTAGAAAAGCTTGCATGCATTATACGTGTTTATGGTGATTGACGAGTGCGTGCGTAATTGCATATTTTGAATCGAATCATGATTTGATGTTGCTTGTGTAAATGTTTTATAAAAAAAAAGGAAAAGGAAAATGGGATGTTTTACGAAAGTCAGAGATAGAATTGATGACTGAATAAAAGTTTAGGAAAAATGAAAAGAAATTTGTTAAAGGGAAAACACTTAAAGAACAACTTAGGAGATAGGGAAAGTATTTCATTAAGGGAAGACTAAAAGAATAACTTAAGAAAAAAAAAAGATTTAAGTCAATTAGAAGAGGAAAGAGATTAGAAAGGAATGGATTAATGAAGAGCAACCTTCGTGTTTGAAATAAAAATTAAAGTTTTAAAATGTACTTGTGGTTTAAAAGTAAAGGGGGATTTTTTTAATAATAAAATAATATATGAGTAACATAGTTTGGTATTTAAAAAGAAAAGACCTAGGAGTAAAATTAAAAGGGTAGAAAGAATGGATGATTTGATGATAGTAATCAGAATTAAGGTTTTAACTTAAAATCTTAAGTACTAGAATTTGGGAAATAAATAAAATGTAATAAACCAATAA